TTCCATATCATGGAGTAGAATGGCTGCTCTATTATTAGTCTATTGAATTAAAGCCTCATTCACAGGTATGCAAAAGCATTAAAAAATTTGCGCTTATATGAAATCGCAGCTGAAAAAATTTCAAAAATTGATTCAATTAATCCCAAAAATAAAGAAATTGCAGAGCTAAAACGAGATGTTCAATGCAAGGTATTTTTAAGAATTTTTATTAAAATTTGATTATTCACTTTTTAAAGTGGGTAATCCATTCGTTTTTACGTTTTCATATTTCTATTGATGGATATATACAGCTTTTGAAATCTTTCTAGTTTCTTAAGACATTCTACCAAATTTCATAAAATAAATTTTATTAAAATTATAGTTAGCTTAAATGTCTCTTAGGTGTTTCGTTGCTTTTTTTAAAGTTCCTTCTTTTCAAAAAATGCAGTAATTTGTTTATTGCATGATATATAGGTTTATTTCAAAGGCAAATTGTGCAGAACTGAAATTGTTATGTGGTAACAAGGATGAATTCCTTCGCTCAAAAATACCGTTAATGGAAATTAGAAATATTGAGATAGTTAAGACGAAATCAGCTGACCAAATAATTCAGAAAAAATTATTTTCCACGGTAAGTAATTTAATTTTTGATGGTATTATTTTCTCTCTCATTCACAAAATGATGTTCAATCAATGAACCAGTCTCTAACTTTGTGAATTTCTGCAGATCAATTTTTAATTTAGGATCATCTAACAATTTTATTTTAAATTTAGTAAACATTGATTACTCATCTCTAATTTCTGCTACTTATCTCAGTGTTTCTATCAATAAATATTGATTCTTTTTGTCAGGAATCGTTGTCACTGGAAATTCCACCTCCTCCAACGACATCATTTATTTTTATATCTGATTTTCACAAGCTTAAAGATAAGCCAAGAGCATTTGCCAAATATTTCTTGGTGAGCTATTGTTTATAACTTTTCCTCTTTTTCGCTACATTTTCATTTTTTTTTTCAGAATTTTTAAATGTGTACGAATTTAAACAAATCCGTTACTTTTAGCGATTAAATCACATCATTCTTCAATGCAACCTCCAAAAATAAAGTTTTCACTTTCTTTGTTCTCATCTCAGTACGGCACCCTTTTATCATTCTTAGTAAAAGATAACACTGAAATCAAATTGATGCATTGGCAGAATTGCTTGTTAAATATTAGTTTTTTTTAAATAAATTATGAATTTTTGAATGGGATGAATTTTAAAATATTTTTATGCAGTCAATTGATAAAGATCTCTATGGTGAATTGCTTGATGATATAATTGAAACCGAAATGGTGAAGTGTTTAATACTTGGTTTCGATGATCTAGCTGATGAATCAAACATTCCTCAACTCTTAGAATGTTTAATCAAGCTGACCAGTGTTTCCCGAATTGATATTGCTATGCTATTTTTGGATGAAGCTACGAAGAATGGTTGGTTTTTTTTATAATTTCTGTTTATTTTATATCTGTATATTGATACCTTCTAATTTCTGTAGCTTCCAAAAGTCTAATCAGGTAACTGAGCAAGATGAGAATTTGAATTGAGATTCATTTCACTTTTCACTTTTAATTAAAATAACAAAATCAAACAATTTCTTCAAAGTTACAAAAAATCAAACAAATTTCTTCAAAGCGGCAGAACCGTTCATTTCTTTATACAATCAAACATGTACTAAATAGCTAAAAATAAAAATGAACAGAACCGGATGTCAACATAAGCAAAAAAAAGTGCAATTTTCAGCTAGAAGATAGTTAAACTACAAACTTCTTGAAATTACATAATAATTAATTAAACAACTCTGCCAAATTTCTTTTAAAAAAAATAAAAGTACAGTTAGCAAAAATTCGCTAATAAATGATGTAATCAAGTTACACGTCAACGTATTGGGAATTTTTTTTATTTTCTCACATTGATGATCCGATTTTCCAATCAAATAATTTTCTAATTAGATGTAAATTTCATGTCTTATTAAAAAGTAGTTCAAGAACTCTTGAAATATGATCAGGCTTTTTCAAGTAATAAATATAGAACCGTACTGTCATTTAATATTAGCATGCCTTCGAATTAAGTAGCCAGTGAATTTCTTGATATTGATATTAGCAATTTACAAAATTGTTTTATTGTCTCTTTTCTTCCTCATCCATTTCTCTTTCACTTATATCCTATGATATGTCTGTTTGATTATATTTTACTCGTTTTTTTTAGATTAATTTATTTTTTCGTCTAATTTTTTTTAGCTTAAAATTGAAAATGTTAAATAGAATTACATTAATCTTTTTCGAAATTACTATTATTTCAATTTATGAATTTGGAATACATTTCCATATCTATATCTTATTATGATAATTTCTCCTTCATTCATATTAAGAAGTTTTCTGCTAATAATTTCATTCTTGAAAGATTTTTGTTTTACTCATGCATTGAACAGATTAGGCAATCTTACCTCTGTTGATTATAAGATTATCATTATTTGCTATCTTATAATAGCTCAATAGTTTATCCTTTTTCAGTAATAAGAAAACTGCTCGATCGCTATGCAGTAAACGAGAAGCAATTATCCATTTTATATGTACTATATGGTTTATGATATAAATGAATAATCAAATAAAAGTTTATTTTGTATCACACATTTCAAGCAAAACATACAAATATCATAAGAATATATAAGCTTCGAGAGTTAAAACATCCCTTTCAGACTTAAGATTTAGATTTTTAAATTGCTTTTTCCTCAAATTCTAATTTACGAATATGTTGGCAGCTATTGTGTCATAATATTGCTCAATTATTTGATAATTGTTGGTAACATTTTATCTTTATTTTTTGGTAAACAAAGATATTAATATATCATGAGTTTACTTTTTTTAATTTAGCGACAAAAACGCAATTAGAATTTTTAACTTTCTTTTGAATATTCCATCAGGAAACGATGAACGTTTACTTTGTCTTTTCATCCTTTTTTTTTCTACATTTTCACACAGCAATCTGTAAAAGGTTCCAATAAATCACAGGTGTTAATTATGATTTATTACTGGAATTTTCTGAAAATTCAACTAACAAAAAAAGAATTGAACTGGTGAAAGAAAAGTGGTTTTGTCGGTAAGCAACTGATGAAGTAAAGTGAATTCATGAATGGCTCTGCAATTGAAAAAAAATGAAAATACTGTTGAATGAGTTGTTGTTGGTGGTTAAATTCGAAATAAATGATAAGCGATCAATAAATAATAGAAATATATTAAAATTTGTTCCGATACAATATGTATGTTTTACGGCAATTCGTGCTTAATCACGTGATCGTATATTTATTAAATTCAATTTTTTGCAATACATGCATATGTGAAATTGAAAAAAAAATTTAATTGAAAATTTTATCGTTGTATTTTTTTCGATTGTGAAATTTTTGACATTTTAATGTTTCTTTCTATGTCAAAAATTGTTTACTCTTTACTATTCCTCCCTGTATAATCCTATTTTTCAGAAATGATGAAATTTTGAATGTGACACAGATTTGCAGTAATAATTATCCATGAATATATTTCATAATTTTCACTCATTTCTTACATAATAGAAGCATATTTTTAAAATTCACACTTGTATTTTAAAAGTTTAAAGTTTTAAAGCAAAATTTTGCTTTTGGGATAATTATAATATATTTTTCGGTCATCAATCATTTTCAATTTGATTAATTCTTATTTCATTAAATCGTCAAAATATAAATATTTCATTTGTAGAAATAGAATGGAAATATCGAACAGATTTTCTCTACTTGATATAAAATTTAAATGTAAACGACACGAAGAAAAAGATTTGATTGACTTAGTAATCAAAAATTGAAAATATTTTTACTTAAAGTTGTTCTTTTTTTGCATTTTTTTTTCATATATTCTAAATATTAACTGTAAAATAAATAAAGAAAATGAAATTAGTATTGTGAGAAATTAATATCAAAATGAACTGAAATTTGATGATAGCTGATGTTATGCCTGGAATTCAAAATGTAATATGAAATGGAAAGCGGAAAAAAAAAATGTCTTTCGTAATGATCCGTGATAAAAGTGATGTTTACGTATGCAGCAAAGTATAGGAAGTTTTCTGTACCAACCATCAATCTTCTTCTGATAATAATCATCGAAAATAATTCCTTCAAACAACTGGTTAATTTAGACATGTAAAAATTTCACAATTTTATAATGAATTGATAAGCATAGCGTTTCAATTTCCTTCCCATTCTACTCATTTAATTTCGAAATTATAAAGACAGATTTCAATGCTGATTTGTTGAAAAGAGTTCATTTTAATTTTTTTTTTTTGAAATTTAATAAATTGAGGTCATGAAAGATGATTAATGACATGACCTGACATTGGAAAACATCTTGAAGTCAACGTTTATCACATCATTTTAATTACTTCAGTTTTTGCTTCACTATCAATTTTTTTTCTTCTAATTCGTAATACTTTCAATTTTTCCGACGGCTCTTTCTAAAATTTAAAATATAAAACACAAATAAATGTTGTTTCTGAAATTTAAAAAAGAAAAAGCTTGAATAATGAAACATTTTAAAAAAAGCGTAAAAAGAAGAAAAAAAATCGAGGATGAAACGAAAAAAAGAAAAAACCGAGAATAAAGTTGAAAATTTTGAAAATACTTAAAATAAACAAATATGCTTTTTAATATTTCCTTTCTCAGTTTTTGTTGCATTATGGATGCAAGTATAACGAATATTGAATATTTTAATGCTGTGAGAACGTTATTGAAATATTTTAGCTAAAAAGAAAAGAAAAAAAAAACTAATATATCGAAAAGAATTGGATAATCTTAGCAATATGATGCTAGTGAAATGTTAGTAATAGATTTGCATAATCCAAAAAAATTTATGAGTTCTTTTTTTTTCATTTTTCGTTTACAGCTTAAAGCTTAAGATAGTAACATTTTTTTTGAAGCAAAATGTTAAATATGAAACGGCAAAATTGTTCTATTTCAACTTTTACTAATTTGTTTTGAGAATTTTTTAAATTTGTCAACATGAATTATTTCAATAATTTGTAATTTTATAAATTAATTTTTTCTAGCTCTAAATTATTTAAACTCGATATTTTAAGTAACCAATTACTTAGCATATCTACGTTATATTTAAATTAGTTCAAATATAATTTCTAAATTAGTTTAACCTTTAAAAAAAATCAAATTTCTTGAGAAGTTGAAAAAAAATTTTTTTCCAATATAATTTAATTAAGTCTTTCTGTTCCTCTTTCGTATAAGACGAGAAATATTTGGAAATACTATTAAAATTGTCACTATCTCGATGAAAACTAGTATCATAAATCAGTCATGTACAAATCAAGTTTTTTTCGCACCAATTTTAGTGATTAGTGCAGTAACTATGAACAGTGTAAAA